GGTGGTGTTCCAGGCACATGTAGAGTGGGAAGTAAAAGCTCCTTCCAGTTGGACACAAGGTTTGGGGTCTGTGTCAAACAGGAAGCTGCCCGTGACAGCCTAGGGCACTTGGAGAATCCCAAAGACCCCCAGGCCCTGGGTGTGAGACTGCTTCGCAAATGCTCACAGGTGTGTCACAAAGCAAGTTTGACCTGTCGTGGGTGCTGATGATGCTCAGTGAACTGAAACAAACTCCTAATCAGAGGGTGCTCGGATGTGACCACTGAGGGCTTGTTTGCCCACGAGTCACGATCCTTTGTTGGATAATACATCGGCCGTTAGCCCTCAAAGTCCTGTTGCTAAGAGATTATGAGCTAAATGATGTTTCCAAAAGCTAACCACTGCAGGATGTTCCAGAATAGAGCCACAATAACAGCCTAACCAGAAGGACATGGGAGTGTTAGTACGCGCTTGTACAGAATGGAGGAAAGGGCACCTGGGAGGTAGCCTGCCATGTATACCACTAATTGCCAAGGTTTTGACTCTAATAAATCATCTCAGGGATAAAATTGTAGTGAGCACAATATACTGTCTTCATAATTCCAAAGACACGTCAGTCAATCAAGACGTACTCATTGGGAGACCTATTATTTCAACCATGTGTAGGACCATCCCAACTACATTTAGTTGCAGGGAGGACTAAGTCCAGCATAACTGTAAACACTCTTGTCTGGCACAGTGCCTGTTTGTGATAGTTAAGTGATTTTACATGTCCATTTGCTGCCACCAACATTGTTGCTTTGTTGCTGGGACAACAGGAACTGGTCAACCAACAAGCCAGGTCAGAACAGGACAGAAGTCAGCAAACAGGGAACAGACCGTCATCTGACACCTGTTTAGAGCAGGGCTGCCACAGGAGTTTCCTGGGAAGAAGTAGGCTTTCTACTGCTCTGTGTCCTCACCACCGGAGCCTGGCTCACCCTTAGGTGCGCTCCATCAGGCAGATGGATTAGTGCAAAATGACTGTCCCCTAATTTGCTATGAAGGGAAATCCTGGTCTCTGCTGGCCTCCTGGGATCCTAGCAGCAAGATGCTAGCTGCAGACCCTCCCTTCCTGCCCGCTTCCTGGTTTCCTCTCCCACCCCCCCGGCCTCCTTGTTGCTTCATGTCACCCTGTCTCACCATTTGCCACTGCCCTTTGTTTTCTCCCTGGCCAAGTCTCAGGCTGCAGTGGCCTTACCTTCTACATTTCATCTCGCTGGGGTAGGTAGTGGCGAGCTTTGTATACTTCTCTCCCATTTTATAGGTATGAAGGTGGAGGCACATGGAAATAGAGCTGGGTGTCAAAGTTACACTGCCTAATAAGTCAGGAGACAGGCTTCTAGCCCCAGATCCCAGGACCTTCACGGCTCACCAGTTCCAAGCACCCTGTGATATATTGCACAGCAAACCACTGGATGTTGCAATGCTTCTTAGGCAGGGGTCAGTGTTTCCATGGCTAACCCGACTGACCTTCAATCACTGTGTGACACGCAGGGAAGGGGGCAGAACCACAGCAACTCTGCCCCCTTTCTTTTTCCACTGAGTAGGGGTCAGAGGGTGAGGGAAAATGTGTCAGGCAGACTGTTTACCATCCTGGACTGTGCTTCCCCTCACTACTTGGTGATCATGAGCAAGCTACCTAACCTTCCGTGGCAGTTTCCTCTCCAGAAAATGATGACAAGACTGGTACCTTCCGACCCTACAGGGCTGTTCGAGGATTGCTTGAAGTCACCGGGTAACAGCGGGTAGGAGGGTATGTGCGGCACCGGTGGGAGGTCAGCAGCAGCTGTCTGTTCTCACACCACACTATACACTTCTGCTCAGGACCCACGCTGCACATGGGCAGGAGGCTTGTGCCAGCTGCAGGGCTACTGTAGTCTGGTCGCAGCTGCCTCTGGTGACAAAGAACCCTCGAGATCCTTACTTTGAGGAGCTAGGCTGGAAGAATGGAGAAGTCACGCTGTGGGTGTCTGCGCCTGTTTAAACACATGGACTGCCTGCCTGGAACAGCCCTGCACACCCCAGCCCAGCTCTGCACTATCCTTTCCGCTTCTTCAAGCAGACTGGGCACTTGTTTGGGGCCTGGGCCTGGCTGAGGTCTCAGAGGCCAACTGTTCCTCCTTCGCCATTTGTCAGCTACCCTGAAGCAGGACAGAGCTGACCAATGCTCAGCCCTTCCCAACTCTGTCTGAAAGCTGAAGAAGGTTCTTACCATTATGAGGGTCTTAAAGTCCCAGTCAGAGAACCGCATCTAAAGAAGGACCCCAGTGAGAGCAGCGGGGGCCAAAGGCTGAGAATCATGAATTCACCACCCCCCTGCCATTTGGCACCAGTCCCCGGCATGGTGGCTCCAGTTACCCTGGTCCAGGGCGCTGTTTCTGTTGAGTCATCCTTTCTTGCCCAGAGGCATCCTGGCCTGCAGCCACATTCCTCGTGGGGTCTGAGTGCCGCAGAGAGCGGAAGCCTCCTTTCTCACCAAGCCACAGCTCCCCAACCCTACAGACAGGCTTGTCTCTGGGGAGCCTCTGCCAACAGCAAGCCTGGGCTGCAGGACTATCTGTGTCCCCCCCATGCACTGGCCCTGGGTGGAGCCTGAGCCCCCCAAAGCTAAGACACCCCTAAGGAGGGAGAGAGTCAGAGACACCAGTGTCTAGGGAGGAGGTGGCAGCCAAGGGTTGGGGCCCAGAGAGAGGTTAAATAGCCATGACACGCCTGCCGGCCCTCTTGGGCTCCTCCTGCCAGTGGGAGCCAGCAGCCCCATTGGGGTGGGCCTACTGATGGGCAGGGGCCAGCTGCAGAGGCCTAAGTGCCGGGCCCGTACTGCCCCTGCCCCGAAACTCCAGCATCCTGTGTTGTGTGAAAGGGCAGTGGCTCCAGACCAGCAAGCCAGCTGCACCTTCTGCAGAGCACACGTTCCAGGAATGCGCCTGCGCCATTCACTAAGCGCCAACACCACGCAGCACTGCCCTGCAGCGACAGGCAAGGCTGATGCGGCCAGTCTCACCAACCAGTGCTACACTCATGCTCTCGTCCCACACTGCCTAGGTTCAGCTCTTGGGTCCCCCTTCTAGCTACGTGACCTTGAGCAAGGTACTTTACCTCTCTGGGCCTCCAATGCCTCATCTACAAAATTGGGGCCAGCTAATAGTACCACATAAGGATGATAACAGGGGAAAATGAGTTCATATATGTAAAAGTGTAGAACAGTTCCTGGCACAAAGAGCTCAAAGGAAGTGTGTGTGTGTGTGTGTGTGTGTGTGTGTGTGTGTGTGTAAAACCCTAACTCTGTGCCTTGCCTCAGGCTACCCTCTCTCTGCAAAGCCTTTCCCCTCTTCTTCCGGAACCTGTTAAGTACAGCCTCTAGAAGTTTCTAGAAAGGAGGACCGAGGGTCCCAGTGCTAGCAGAACATGTTGCTGTCTGGTGAGGTTTTGTCCTGCCTGGCAGGAGGATGAGGGCAGGATTCAGGAGGAGACATCTGCCCAGCGTTGTCATGCCAGCCAGTGTGATTCTGTGTGGAGCTCGGGTCTTCTGGCTGGAAGCAGCACTGTCTCTGCCCACCCAAAGGGCAAAACCATCAGACCCCTGAGGCCATCACCACAGCCTCAAAAGATCCCCTGGGACCCTGAAGGTGGGGCTTCACTGACACCAGAGCGGGTAGGACTCGCGAAGCCCTGGAGACTGGGGGCGCTGGCCTGGCAGAGCCCTGAGAAGGCCTCACAGAAAGACAGCCCAGGAAACTCTGAGCAATGCCTGCAGACCACAGGGCCCCGGGCTTCCTGCACTCTCCGTACACGCTGCCCTGTCAACGTCAACGGGTTTGTGAAACCCTGCGGGGTGGGCAGTGGCAATCCAAGGGCCCCCCGGGTTCACGGGCTGTGGACATCCTGTTCCCTCACGACCCTGGCCAAGGTGGCTTTCTGAAGACTGCTGTCCACACTGTAATGCAATCCAGCTGCTGTGGGAGACAGGCACCTGAGGGAGGCCCGCTGTCTCTGGGCTCTGCCTCCAGACCCTGGCACTCCTCCCGAGAGAGCTTGGGCTCCCCACACCCGTAAGGGACCCGCAGACGGGGGGTGGGGGTTGTCTGTGGTTGAAGGCCTTGGTAGGGAGGGATGTGTGGGTTAAAAGCCCAGTTCAGCTTTGCCAGCCCTGTGACTTTGGGGAATGGTGGTTAGCGTCTTTGTGCCCCAGTTTCTTCCTCTCTAAAATGGTAACCAAAACAGCTACCTTGTTGTGAAGATGAAATAAAATAATGTAGATGGTAGGTTCTGGCTCACAGTAAGTTCTTGATCAATAGAAGCAGCTCCATCTCTTGGTCCCCTTCCATTTATAAGAGCTCTAGCTCCATCTTTTCCCATTCTTTTTTTTAATCCCCTTTTCCTCACCTCTCTCTCCTCTCCCTCTATCTTCTTCTCTGCTTTCCATGTGCAAAAGAGCTCCCTACTTCCTATTACCTTTTATTTTGCTCTTTAGTTATATTTTGGGTTTCCCATATAAGAGAAACCATGTGGTATTAAAGCTCGTATCCCTGGTTTATTTCACTTAATATTATGGTCTCAAAGTGTATCCATTTAGCTAGGAATGACTCAAACCTATCCTTTTTTGGCAAAGTAATATTCCATTGTGTATGAACACATTTTCTTTAGAGATGGAAGAAGTAGGGAGGGAGGAGCAGGTTAGGAGATGAAAAAATAGTTAAAATGTGTTATGTCCATGTACCAGCTCCTCACAGTAAACGTTATCATTATGTACTGCAAACATATATTAATAAAAATTCAATAAAGAATAAATAAACTAATGATTGAAAGCATAGTATGTAAGTTAAAAAAAAAAAAAAAAAACAGGAGTAGTTGTCTTAGCCACCATAAGAGGCAACAGAAATGTCAGGTATTAATACCGTTGCGTTCCTTTGCTTTTGTAATTTTAATCAAATCTAGACCCAGTCTGTTACAAATAGTCACTGGTTTGGATGACTCACCTTATGATTTTTAGGCTTCATAACGGTGGGGAAGCAGTACACACTCGGTGAGAAGCCACACTTCCAGCTTGGAATTTGGACCTTTCCCACGGGCTAGCAATGTGCAGTGTGACCCTCTCTCACAAAGCCAGGAGTAGCAGCTACCTGTTGGTCCGTCATTCAGGGTACAGCCTGTACTGGGCAGCATACAAGAGCTCGGTCACAATGTTCAGGAAGCTGGGTGTGTTAAATGCATTTTCAACTTAAAATTGTTCCAATTTGTGATAGATGTATCGGGACATAACCACATGGTAAGCTGAGCAGTGTCTGTACACTTAAAGGGAAAATACACCCTTCTCTTGAAGCTTCCTTTCTTGCTGTGTCTGCCCAGGAATCCCCAGTTCTTATATGCTGAAAAAGAGGGGAGCGGAGGGTACACCTCTCACACCTCAGCCAGAAGAACTGAACTCTGACTTTTCCCCTGGAGAGGTGCTATGTAGTCAGGAGGAAGTGACCCTGGGACAACCAGAACACAACACAGGCTGCAGGGACCTTCCAGAGGGATGACTCCAAAGATGGCCAAGCGAGGAGTGGGCTACCACCTGCTCGGTCCCCTTCCAGAGCCCTGCCCACATTTGTGGCTTCTTCACGCCCATCTGTGGCCATTCCTCCTGCATGGAGCTTGCTGGGCTCCTGGTCCACACTCAGACTGAATCAGAACTGCTGTCCTGTTTCCTTCCCCAAGACTCACTTTGGGGTTGAGGCTACTTCTCCTTTCCAGACCCCCAAAATGTAAATGGCCTCCTTTTCCCTCTGGGTCTGAAAGTTCCAGAAAGCTGCCCGCACCTGCCACCCCCAGGCCTCACATGAGCCTCAGTGCCAACTCACCTGCCCAAGGGCCACCAACACCAAGGCAACTCCACCCAGGACACAGAAAAGGGGGTCTTCAGCAGGACATCCTGCCGGAGTTCTTGTTGTTGTTCATTTGTTTTGGTTTGTTTTGGTTTTCTCAGTCATTGGACAACCAGAAGAAACCAAAGTGGAGTTCGGCATCTAGCAGTGGAGCCTCTGCCCTTATCTTTTATGGTCCAGGGGCACCAGATGTAGCACCAGAAACATGCACAAGAGGGTAGCGGAAGTGGAGCAGATCCCCCAGGCACCGGGGCAAGAGGATGCATGTCTAGGCAGTTGAAGAGAAGGAACAGCAGTTGGGGAAGCGGTGCTGGAGCTGCTACAGGACAGAGAGGGCATCTCTGGGAGAACCTGGAGACGGGCGGACCCTTCATGTGCCCAGTGGAGCTTGGGGACATGACAAAGGGCCTGGTAAAGACACTGCTCCGGCACAGGAGCATGTGGGACGTGGTCCCTGGAGAAATTCAGAGATAAACACCAGAATCATGACTCCCTGTTTTGAAGCGACCCTTGAACAAGGCCCTAATTCAGCCAAAAGAGAGCACACTGCCTTCAACTTAGTCCAGAGTTCACATTCTGTCTCCCCGGAGGCTGCTCCGGCATTCTGTGTGTGTGCCTATCTCAGTGCCCCAGGCCAAGACACAGGCCTCCAGGGACCTCGGGAGCTCACCTGGCCTCCTCGGGAACAAAAGGCACAGGGAGTGTCTGAGAGGGTAAAAGAGTAATAGTCAAGGTCTCGCTGCAGAGGGCCACTGGGGTCACGGCCTTGGGAGCCTGCTAACCTGGGTCCAGATTCTGCCCCCACCAGTTGTTCGCTGAGATAACCTGTCCAAGCCTCAACCACAAAAGCCCCTAGCAGACAGAACTCAAGGAATTTTAATGAGGATAAAGTGAGAGGACGCGAAGTCCCCACCACTGAGCCTAGCACACGGCAAGTAGGTTCCTGGGAGGCTCGTTTGGCATTGTGCTGGTACAAGAGGGCTGAGGAGCCATGTACAGGTGATGCAGACCTCTGCCAGCCTTGTGCCTTTCCAAGAACCTAGTTGGCCTTGCTCCCTCCCCCAGCCAGGACTCCAGGCCCAGTTGGAGAAGGCTGGGTCTTGGCCCGGGAATGTAGGAGGTTTCTCACCGTGGCAGGAAAATTGCTGGGTTGGGGGTGTGGGCAGCCACAGTGACCGTCTTTCTGCAGGACGGATGCGGCTTTGCTGACAGAGAGTCTGCGGCCTGGACATGTCAGCGGTACAGGTCTGAGGTCAGCATGGGGGAGCCAGGTCCACCATGGCCTCGCCACTCCCACCAGGGCCCCATCAGGGTATGGCATCTGCTTCTAATCAGCTGTCCTTCAGCTCAGATAGGGAAAGAGAAGTAGACCTCCCCCAGCCCAATTTCACCTCATGCAGAATGGACAGAGAGGACAAAGAAGGCAGAGAGAAGCTCCAGAGACAGACAGGTCAAAGAGCACAGTACAGGAGAGAGAGATTTGCTGTAGTGAGCCAGTTAACCAACTCTTCAGTAGCTCATGTTTGCAAGGCCATGTTCAATCTAGCCCCGCTATAATTCAGATCTTCTCTGTCCTCCAAAGGCCCGTGTGTTAAAGGTTCAGTGCCAGGGTGTGCTACGGGGAGATGAAGAAATCTGGAGGGGGGTGGTATGCATGTGTGTGCATGTGTGTGTGTGTGTGTGTGTGTGTGTGTGTATTTATGGTGAAGCCTTTATGCAGGAGCCACGGGGAGAGCATGCCCTTGCAGGGGACTGCAGAACCCTGGTAACCTCTTTTTTTTCCCCTTGCTTGTGATGAGATGAACAGTTCTGGCTCCACTGCACACTCCCATCCGGATGTCCTGCCTCGCCGCAGACTCAAAGCAACTGCACTAACTGATCATGGAATTTCCAAAACAGGGCCAAAAATAAACCTTTTTTCTTTACAAGATGATTATCTCGGGTATTTTGTTATACTGACAGAAAGCTGACCCTGCAGGGCCCTCAGCCTCCTGTGGCTCCTGCTGCCCTGCCCTAAGCCTCTGGAACCTCTGACTTTTTCCCCACTCCAGTGCTTTTTCCTCCTCCCCTAGGGTCCCCTTCTCTGCTCTGTGCCACTAACTCTCATCTTTTGGCTTAAATCCAGCTTCCTTAGGAAAGCCTTCAGGCCCCATGTTTGCTCCATATTAAATAATCCTACTGGACCAACTTTGGTTTGTACCCAAGTATATAGCTACAGGGCTCCTTACTACCCACCTCTGCCCATAGCCTCCCAGCTCCAAGCAGGGGAAAACTTCCTGTTTTCCTCAGGATGGTGTCCCTAGAATCCAGGACAGGGCCTGCCAGAGTCCGTGGTCCATAAATCTTGGTGGAATTAATTAATTATACCTCATAAATTTTCGGGATGTTTCCTTCTGTAATCTTCAATTGTTGGTCTTGACTAAATCCCTGCAGGCTGGTCAATTTTTATACCCATTTTACAGGCCTAGAGTCAAAGTTACAGATGGGCTGTTGGACTCTGGCTCCTACTCCATGCTCATTCATGGCATTGGGCAAACTTTATTTAGGAAGAAAAAAGGTAAACTGGAGGAGGAGAGGTATGTACCATGGAGTCAGAGGCCAGCAAAGGGAACAGACGAGGGCCCAGAGGGGGGTAGGGATGCCACAGGAGTCTGCTCTGGGGAGGAAGGTTCTATCACAATGATTTTATCCAGCATTCCACATCCCAGAGAAAGCCCAGGAAGACACCCATGGGGATGCGCCCCAGCAGCACCCAACTCCACACCCCATCCATGAATAGACACACACCAAAATGGAGAAAAGGGACAAAGAAGAACGCTTACTTTACTACCAGTTTAGGCTGAGCACCCTCTGCCCCCAAGCCCGGGTGGAGCACTGCTCCTCCCTGATGGAAATGGGCTTTGCAGTCAACTATCTTGAGGTCAAACCCAAGCCCCACTGCTGACAGCCATGCAATCCAGATAGGTTACTCAACTATCTGAGCCTCAGTCTCATCCGTAAAATGGGACAATAACAGAGTGGAACTTAGTGGGCTGTAGTGAGCCCTTCACAAGCCCATGGAAGTTAATGCCTAGTGCTAAGAATTAGGACTCTACATTCCTGTAGTGCCTATTAGCTGATGGGAATCATCTTTTGGTCATTGAGTGGGTTTGGGTGTTGGGCAGGGCTGATTCCTTTCTACCCTGGAGTACTTTGAGGACAAGGACCCTCATGTCCCCAGTGTTCCCTGACTAGCCCAGGCCCAGGCTGTGTGCTCAGCTAGAGGCACAAATACACAGTGTTTGCTTAGGTTCAGAGTAGAAGCTCTGCCAGTTTCCTGAGAGTGACCTGCTGGAGCCCAGGAGCTGGAGGACGAGTGCACAGGACTAGAGCTGAGTGGGAACAGTAACAGGGAAAGGAGAAGAGGGAGGGACATGGCCAGAGTAGGGTATGATCTATACAAGTGGTCGCGCCAGGGTTCAAGAAGCCTGAGGGAGCAGGTTTGACCTGGGCCTTTGGAGTACAGCCTCGGGCGCTGGTAATGTGACCCTCGGGGTGAGCATCTCCAGCGCTTTTTTTTTTTTTTTTTTTGCTTTTTTGAGACAGGGTCTCGCTATGCAGTTCAGGCTGGCCTTGAGCGCACTTTGTAGCCCAGGTTGATCTCCAACTTGCAATGATCCTCCTGCCTCAGCCTCCCGAGTGTTGGGATTACAGGCGTGTGCTATCTTGCCCGGCTCTCTCCAGCTTGTCTGTCCCACTGCTCTCGTCCCCAGGGCTCTAGCTACCCCATGCTACATCTAGAGCTTCACTGCCTGTACTCTCTCACACCTGAGGGCTGGCACCCATGGGGCTGCACTGACACCCAGCTGGGCTTTGATGGAGGTTCAGGTCCCCCTTGGCGGTGGAGTCTCTTGCTGTGCATCCCAGATAGGGCAAGTAGCCCTCTCTGAGGCCTGCAGCTAGCTGAGCTTCGTGCCCCGCCTCTGCACTTGCGCCCGTGGGTGTGGGCATAGGAGCCATGGGAGCCGCACTCGTCTTCCCTGTACCTCCGGTCCCCAGTGTGAGGGAGCCTCTGGGCCTGTAGCACAGTCTCCTGGGCCTTGCTCAATGCATTTCTCGAAGGAATCGATTAAATAGAGGCCCTTGATTTCACAGATGGCGGAGACAACCAAAAGGGCCCCAAATGGCACCAAAAACTTCAAAAGCATTTCCTTTAGGCCCTACCAAAGGCTACAGTTGGTCATATCTACACCCACTAACAGACACGGCCGACCCTGCCTCCACCAGGTCAGCGCTAGAAAAATGCGAAAATGGGAATTTTTTTTCTTTTGGAAACAGGGTCTCACATGTTATTCTGGCTGGACTTGAACTCACTATGTAGCCCAGGCTGGCCTCAAACTTGTGGCAATCTTCCTGCCTCAGCTTCCCAAGTGCTGGGATTATGAGCGTGCGCCACTATGCCCAGCAACAAACAAATGTTCTATTAAGAGCCCCACCCCTCACTCTTTCTCCCACCACCCCCTTTCTTTCTCCCTGGTTGACTGCCAGCAAGCCCTTCCTCTCCCACCCTTAGCTGAGCGCACACCCCCTCTGCAGGCCAGAACTTTCTGACCCTCTCAGCTACGCCCCAAGTTCTTGGAGTAAGCCTCCCCTTTGAATCCAACCTGGTCCACGGATTGTGGAGTCAGACGCTCAGACTGGAGCTGGTGTTAGACACTGATCTTCAAACTTTAGGGCCACCCAGCTCCTCTGGAGACTAAGACAGGAGGATCCTGAGTCTGAGGCCAGCCTGAGCAACATAGCAAGACGCCATCTCAAAAACAAACACACACCAAAAACCCAACCAACCAACCAAACAAACAAACATAAAGTCTGGGGTTATAAAGGGCTCCAAGATCTGAGCATTTATAAGAGAAAATCAGCTGTGAGCCAGACCGTGCAGGGCATGGTGGGCCGGGCCTGGCAGGGCAGTTCCCAGGGGAACAGGGAGAAGGGCTGTCAGGGAGCAGGAGCACGGTGACAGTCGCATACCACGCCTGGCCCTTCGGGGAGCACTGCACCCTGCTATGACTCAGCACTCACCACAGATGCAGCAGGTGAGTACTTCCGGGTGCTCATTCGCAGGGGGACTCAGCCTGCAGAGCCAGCTCCCACCTGGCAGGGCCAGGTTTTTCCTTTCTCTGCCCGGCTCCAAAGCCACGTTCTTTACCACCAAGTTCCAAATGTCAGTCTGAGGTCCTGTTAGTCTGGCTGTGATGGGGCTAACGGTGACCCAGGCAGAGGAAATGGAAACTGACACATTTATTAAGCTGCACTATGCACAGAAATGTCAGTCAGATTCATTGTCAGGATAGATAGATAGATAGATAGATAGATAGATAGATAGATAGAGTTTTCTTGCGAAAAGCCTTGTCAATTGTTTCCGTCTTCCTGCTCAGAGACTCCTCAAACCCAACTGGGGTTCACGGAGTCGATGAGATAATATTTAATGAAAGGAGACAGGCACTGTCTGTGTGTTGTCTTGCTGGACATGTTTCGAAGGAAAATCTCAGGCATCTCTCACAGGGTGAGTCACCTGCAGCCCAGGCACCTTTCCAGGGCACAGAAACAGGTCTGCTGACCTCAGGCTGCTGCCCAATTTGTGCCTCTCATAGTCTTGGGTCCACCCAGGTGGGCAGAAGGACTGTGCCCCAAGACAGAGAACAGGATAAAACCCTAATGTCCACAAAGCCAGCCCTGGAAGGCTGGGGAGCATTATAGGAAAAAGCAAGATAATGTCTCTCCCCCAAGGGCTCCTTCCCCACCTGGCAGAGGTGGGCATTTTGGGGTCAGCAGAGGTGCGAGTCCTCCAGACAGCAGGCCACAGCACAGGGAGTCTAGGCTCCGAGAATGTCACACTGTAGCTCTTGCTGACTTCCTCAGACTCCGCCTTCTGTTGCCAACACCATTAATCACCTTCCCTGCCAATCCCCAGGAATGCGGCAGCCTTTTACAAGTCAGCCCTCGGTTAAACAAACAAAGCAACCTGGAAGCTTCTAAGTCAGCTGCAGAGCCTCAGGCAGGTCAGAAGTAAGAGACAGGTTTCTGGCCTCCTTTCCTCTGCTCTTCCCCTTCCCCTGCATCTGTGAACTCAGAACTCTCCCACCTCCTAAGCACCCACAACTAGGAGGGAACCGTGGCACCAAGAGAAGCTCCTCTAGACTGGGAAGTGGGTGCCCAGAAGCCTGAACCCACTTCCCCTGCTCTGGGGAGACCCTTCTCACCGGCTCCCATACCAACTCTCCACTGTGTTCCCACTCTGCCTTCAGATACTCAGGCTTGTCTATCTGCAACCGGTGCCCAGCAATCTAGAGCTCTACAAACCCCTCCCTTCTTGCCAGAGGACTGTCCCCGCTCTCAAGAGAACAGGGCCTAGCTCGGGGAAAATTTCCCTAGGAGATTGAGGGCTGAAGGTGGGCACGGGGAATGAAGCAAGCTGGATGCTTTCAGGGTGAGCCTTTTTCTGCTGCACCCCACCCGTATCTCCCCCACAGCCCCCGGGCTCAGCAGCAGTAAAGTCCCATGGGATCCGGGCCTCAGAGACCTACTGAAGGGAAGAGGGGCCGGCACCCGTGTGTTCCTGTAAACAAAGGGGAAAATATGCAAACACTCGGCCCACTCATCAGAACAGAGGAATCCGCAGCTGGACAGGGTACACGCAGGTGCGGACCACACCACTGGTTCCAGTGAGCCGGGCTGGCTGAAGGAAGTGCTAGCTGAAGGTCCAAGTCCAAGGCTGTGCCTCCCACTCCAGGACCCCAGACCTCCAGGGTTCCTCAAGCCACTTAGAACATCTCAGAAAGCCAATATATGTGCTACATTTAGGCATGGGAGATCTCTGGGATTAACAAAAATTCCAAGGCTTTGCTTTTGGCTGGAATTACATCAACTCAATGCAGAAACATGGGCCATCTTGTGCTGATAAACATCTTGAGCATAAGTACGCAAGGGTCAGACCAAGGAAACGGAGAATGAAGTAAGAACTCAACAGAGGCTGTTTAATAAAATCCCTCCAAACATGGAATTTGTAGTGAAGGAAATAATAAAATGAATCCTAGATGCTTATTCCCTTAATATACACAACTCCTACAAATCAAAGAGAAAAAGACTAGTCCCACAAATGGTCAAAGACTAGCAAAATAGTGGGGAGGGGGTGTCACAAAAAAGAGGAAAAAAAGAAGTTCAAATAGCCAGCAAGTATAATAGTCCTCCCTTTATCTGCGGTTTTGCTTTCCAAGGTTTCAGTTACCTGCGGTCAACCACAGTCCAAAAGCATTAAATGGAAAACTTCAGAAATAAACAATTTGTAAGATTTAAATTGTATACAGTAGTATGATGAAATCTCACTCAGTCCAACCACCCTGTCTGGGATGTGGATCATCCTGTGTCCGGCCTCTCTAGGCGGTGTACCCTGCCTGCCCGCTCATCCTCAGGCCGGTCCCTTGGTTGTCACACCAACTGCTGTGCTATCAAAGCATTTGTGTTCAAGTAACCCACATCTTATTTCATAACGGCCCCAAAGTGCAAGAGTAATGAATCTGGCACTTCAAGGATGCTGAAGAGTAGTGGCAAAGTGTTTCCCACAGGTAAAAAGGTAAAACTTTTCAAGTTAATAAGGAAGGAAAAAAGTCAATTGTGGAGGATGCTAAAATCTATGGTAAGAATGAATCTTCTATCTGTGAAAGTATGGCCAAAGGAAAAGAAACTCAGGCTAGTTTTTCTGTCACATCTCAAACTATAAAAGTTAAGTACTTAATTAAGGTGGAAAAAGTATTTGGTTTATACAGAGGAAACTATGTACAGCAGCGATACTATCTTTGGTTCCAGGCATCTACTGGGGGTCTTGGGGTTGAGGGGACTGGCATATACTACACACTGTACCTTACTCTGAAGCATTTAAATATTTAAAATTACATGCCGGGGCTAGGGATTTAGCTCAGCGGCAAAGCACCTGCCTGGCAAGCACAAGGTCATGAGTTTGATTCCTGGTACCGGAAGAAAAACAAAAAAACCCAAATAAGGGGCTGGGGATTTAGCTCAGCGGCAAAAGTGCCTGCCTGGCAAGCACAAGGTCGTGAGTTCGGTTCCCGGTACCAGAGAAAAACAAAACAAAACAAAAAAAAAACCCAAACAAACAAAAACAGATAAAGGGCTGGGGATTTAGCTCAGTGGCAAAAGCGCCTGCCTCGCAAGCGCAAGGTCGTGAGTTCGGTTCCCGGTACCGGAGAAAAACCAAAAAAAAAAAAAAAAACCAGATATAATTATATGCCCTTTTAAAGCTATAAAATTAACAAAGACTTAAGTTTGATGATGTTAGCACTGGTGTAAATATAAGGAAACAGGCATTCTGGTACACTGTTGATAGAACTATAAAATGTTACAGTTTTTGGAAGGCAATTTGGGAATATATATTCAAATTTTAAATGCCAGCAGCATTAGTCAGCTGGAAAATACTGGTCTACAAATATAGTTGTTCATCTGAGTACTGTTTGCAATGGCAAAAATTACAAGTAATCTGATAAAGAAAGAAAGAAAGAAAAAGAAAGAGAAAGAAAGAGAAAGAGAGAAAGAGAAAGAAAGAAAGAAAGAAAGAAAAGAAAGAAAGAAAGAAAGAAAGAAAAAAGAAAGAGAAAAAGAAAGAAAGAGGTAGGGAAGGAAGGAAGGAAGGAGAGAGGAAGAGCAAGGAAGGCAGGAAGGGGAATGGATAGGGGAAGGGAATGGAATGGAAAAAAACAAAAAACTGGTCATTCACAGATTTACAGTGAGTTTTGTAATCATTAGAAAGAATGGGTAGATCTACTGATACTGGCTTGACATGTGCTCAAATTCTAATATTAAATGAAAAAAAGTAAATTGCAAAACAATATGTTTATAGTATAGCCCCATTTACATATATTTTTTAAAGAACACATATAGCAGCTTGTACTTAAATATGCTTGTCTATATATAGGTATAGCTTATGGATAAACAGGAAATTGTAGAGGGTGGCTCCCAGGGGAATGGGATGAACTGAGGGGAAAGAGTGGGTAAGATGGTTTTAATGTTATGTACATTTCTCTGCTATAATGTTATAATAATAAAAGTCTTTTTGAAGGGTCTCTCCTAAGGAGGAGATGAGTGTCCACAATTTAGGAAGACTAGATGATTATTAAGAAAGGGGCTGCCATGGTCTGATTATTCGAGTTCCCTTGAAATGTAAGTGTTAAAATCTTAACCCCCCAAGGTGATGGCATTAAGAGGTAGGAATCATTATGAATGACTGGCTGTCTTACAAAATAGACTCTTCCCGTCCCTCACATGAGGTATACAGCTAGAAGTTACCATCTAGGAACCAGAATCTGCTAGTGCCTTTATTGCAGACTTCTATCCTCCCAGGCTGTGAGAAATACATTTCTATTTTTATAAGCTACATAGCTTATAGCATAGGTAGCTATAAGCTAGCAGCCTGAAAGGTCTAAAACAAAACCTGATAGTGGGAGTGCGGTGCTGTGTAACAAAACATCTAAAACGTGGAAGTGCCTCTGGAATTTAAGTGTTTTTACAGTAAAATGCAAAAAGAGAGAAATGATATAATTTTTAATCAAAAAGGAGCAGAATTTCAAACTTTGGGAGGTCCTCAGCCTATCCATAGTGAAAGGAATGGGAATGTGTGTTTGGAAGAAAACATCAAGGATATGGCCGAAGACTGGATGTGTGGATGGACTGTTTCAAAGGAAGCTAGGCGTTATTCCCCAAGTTAGGAAAAGGAAGTCTCTGAAAACATTTTGAGATTACTAGGGTTGCTTCTCTTCTACCACAGGCACTTAGTACAAGGGCCTGGAGTGGGGGGTGGGGGACAGAGGCTCTACTCTCCACACCCCAACTGCAATACTAGGTGTGGTTGCAGTGGCCCAGGTACGGCATGGGCCATGGTCATGACCCCTCCGGAATGCATGAGCAATGAGCCTTGGTGACTGTGTGAGGTGTCATCCCTATATGACTGCAGGGAAAGCCACCTGTGGGGGTTGTGCCTACTTCCATCTAAATTTTGAAGACTGGACACACCAGGAGCCTCAGCTGGGCCACCCAGGCAAAAAGCCACAGTAAAGGTGGAGTCACTGCAGTGTCCCCATTACCACAAGGTCCAGACTGGGGTGTAGGAATACCCCAATCTCAGTGAACCACCAACATGCAATTCCAGCCTGGGAGAGCCACAGCCACCCAACTACAATCTGTGAGATACAACGTGGGCAGTAAGCAGCACAGCCATGCAAGTGGGTCACCCAGTCTTGGGGGTGCAACTCCCTAGCAGAGCATCAAGCCAAAGAAGATTATTCTTGAGCCTTAAAATTTAATGTTGTTTACTCTGTTCAGTTTCAGGCTGCTTACTTGAAACCTGTTACCCCTTTCTTCTTGCTTATAGTTCCCCTTGCAGTGTGAAGATCTGTCCTGTAACTGTCCCACCATTATAGTTTGGAAGGCCAAATCCTTGTTGGATTTTACAGGTGCACAGCCGGAGGGCAGTGTGCCTTAGACTCACATTGCATCACGAGACACACCTATATCTGATTACATGAGACTTCAGACTTGGACTTTAAAGTTGACACTGGGAAAAGTTAAGATGTTTGGGCCTTGTTTTGCGTGTGAGTATGTCATGAATGTGGAGGTTCCAGGGGCAGAATGCTATAGCCCGAATGGCTGCATTCTCTCAAAATTAACCTGCTGAAATTCTAACCCCCAAGGTGATAGAATCAAGAGGTGGGATTTTTGTGAGGTGATTATATGCCCTTGTGAAAGGGATTAGTGTCTTTAAAGAGATCTCAAAGAACTAGATTATCCCCTCCGCCCTGTGAGGACACAGTGAGAAGGCATCATCTGTGAACCAAGAACCATCCTCACCAGATGATAAATCTGCAGCAAACTCTGACGAAGAGATTCTTGTTGTTTACAGGCCACACAGTCCATGGCGCTCTGTTACAGCAACCTGAAGACTGAGACAGGCCAAGGCGTGGAGAGGGCCACCCAGCAGGGCCTTCTCTGAGGAAAGGAGTCCCATAGAAGCAGGCCTGCCTTTCCTCTGGACGCGAAAGCCCATGAAGAGAGGTCTGTCCTCCACACATTCCCATCCCACCCAGACAGACAACTGGGGACCAGGGCACAAAGTCAGTCTTTAAAAACCAGCACACACCCCAGGGTTCCAGCCTAGCCCCTCCTCCCCTTAACCCCACCTCCAGTCTGCTCTGTCATTTTGACCCAGGCTCAACAAAATCTCTGACCCACAAAATGGAATCCGCCCAAGAATTTTTCCAAAAGGAAGAGAAAAGATAAAAAGAGAGACAAATCGGTGACTGTTTAAAAACGGGATTCTGACAAGAAGCTCTTACAGCCTGCCCAGAGATGCTGAGGCTGAGGGAGAGGGCTCTGGGAGGGAGGACTTGCCTGGTCTTAGACTTGCCTGGTCTTAGCGTGCCACCCCACATATTCCGCTTAACATCAGTCCCACGTGGACCAGGACTAAGAAGTCAGCTCCTGCATTCCTTACCAGGGCTGTCACTGTACTATCACTTTACTCTGACCTTCAACGCTTTACCTATAAAGCTGGGGTCATAGTACCCTAAGGGTTGAAGGGAGAATGAGAAGTCATGACTTATATAAATAAGCATGATTGCACCAGATGGTCACTGAGACACATATACAGCTGTATCTATTCATCAGCATCCTCTAACCGTAGCCTCCAAGCCTTTGCTCATGCTGGTTCCTGTTGGGGATGCCCCTCCTTCCCCATCTGGTAAGATCCTACGCATGTTCCCAGGCCTGCTCCAGCATCACCTCATTTGTGAAGACGTACACTGCCCTTGCCAAGCAGCAGTAGCCGCTCCTCCGCAGAGCTCCCACGACACTGAATGCCTTATCCCCTTTCATCCATACCACCTGAGTCATCAAGCCGTTTACTCGGAGCACTGGGGACCTGCGTGAGGTGGCGCCTCAGCACATGCGCTGTCTTCTTTGTGTCTTTGTTCCTAGCACAGGGGCTGCTGTATAAGCACCTCTTGGATGCCCTCATGAATGCCTTCCCATCATCTTGATAACCTCCTCATCCTTCTTAGGAAGGGAGAGGAGGGAGTAGCAGAGCACTGTGTCTCCCCAGCTCCACTCTGGACTTGGTTTGATGCCAAGGGGCTGGAGTGCCCTCACAAGCCAAATTCAGACACTTCACAGAGCTGAGGGTTCCCTTACTGGAAAGGAGGGACCGTGGACACCAAAGGCAGAGAGGCTGTGCTCAGGAGCTGCACCCATGTGGGGGAGCATATGCCCAGGAAGATCACCTGACCTTGCTTCAGTGGCCATAATCTAGCCGGCATTCTCCCCTGTCCTCCAGCTGTGTACAGCTGGCCTATTTCCTTTGTGCCTGGGGTGCCTTTCCACTCGCAGAAAGGCCACCCCACCCTAGTCCTTCCAGAAGTGGGAGTCCTGAGCTGGATGGGTCCTGAGCTAGGGGAATGTGAGTTAGCCCTGCCCCCTGCTGGCCATTGTGTGGAATGGGCCCTTAACTGTGGAGCGGTAGGAGGAATCCACCAGTGGCGGCCTGCCTGGCTAGCAAGTGCTACTGTGGAGCCAGTCCGGCACATTGTCCTGTGGGTATCAGTCAGAACTACTTGTGCACACCTGTAATCCCAGCACTTGGAAGGTTGAGGCTGGAGGATTGCCACAAGTTCAAGGCCAGCCTGAACTACATAGCAAGACCCTCTATTTAAAAATAAAACCAAAAAACCAAAATCTAAACCCTTGGTAGGACAAAGTCCTCCAGGACTTGGTTCTAGTGTTCTTTCCAAACTGATTTCCTACTGCTTCATCCCCAAATCTCAGCCCCCAGGTAAAACAACTGTTCCTTGTCCCTGGACACACTGGCTGTGTGGCCTGAACCCCAGCCTCCCACAGGCTGCCCTTCTGCCAGCAGTGCCCTTGCCTACCCTCTCGGTATCAAGGCCCTGTTCAAATTTCATCTCCTTACCCATTGCCCTGCTCTGGGTCCTAATCCTGCTGAATTTATCCTTTAGCTTTCCTAGGCCAGAGCGCAGTCCTTTCACCTCTGGCTCGGGCCCACCCTAATCTCTACTGGGTTGAAGGGTGGCATCACACCGGAATGTGCACAGCTCGGTGTCAGCGGAGGGCTCTGCACAAGGAGACGGAAAGGAGACCACACCCCAACCCTTCGTGTTCCTGTCCCTGCCCTGCAGTCTCCCTGGGGACGTTGGCAGGTTCCTCCGGGGGGAAGGTTGATCTCAGGATAGGTCCTGATCACCTGCAGACCCCTTGCCCTCTCAGCTAGTGTCCAAGAGTCAATAGGACGGCGTAGGAACAAATGGGGAAGACCTACCGTTATATGGAGCCAGATACGAGAGACAGCTGTCCAGCAGACACTGCCCTGCTCAGAGCAGGCCACGCCCTCCTCTCCAGCTACTGCTCTCCTAAGTTCTGGCTCCTTTCTACTTCCTTCCCTTTCTTGTTTACTTGATTCCTTCCTCCCTCCCTCCCTCTCTTCCTCCCTCCCTCCCT